GGCTCAGTAGTTGAGCATCTGCCTTTGGCTCAGGGTCTGTTCCTGGGGTCCAGGATCGAGTCCAGGATCGAGTCCAGGATGGAGTCCTGCATTGAGCTCCCTGCACGGAGACTGCTTCTCCCTCTGCCTGTGTCTCTGCCCCCCTCTCTCTCTGTCTCTCATGAATAAATAAATAAAATCTTAAAAAAAAAAAGTATTTGGGTGACTGAATCAGAACCTTGCTTTGGTTATTCAAGGTTACCCTTGACTGTGAGCTGCACTGAATTGAACACCTGGACATTCTTTTTTTTTCTTAGATTTTATTTATCTATTTGACAGAGAGAGAGAGAGAGAGAGAGAGACAGAGAGAGAACAAGCAGGGGGAGCAGCAAGCAGAGGGAGAGGGAGAAGTGGGCTCCACACTGAGCAAGGAGCCCAATACGGGACTCAATCTCAGGACCCCAGGATCATGACCCCAGCCAAAGGCAGATGCTTAACCAACTGAGCCACCCAGGCACCCACACCTGCACATTCTTATTTCCCAGCTCCAACGTGACTATTTATCACTCAACCAAAGCAGAGATATTTATGTACCTATTATAAATTTCAAAACGTATCTTCTCCTTAATTATTTTGTACTGATGATTTGTTGATTAGGGACCACCTGCAGACATTTTAGATTCACTAATTTTTATCAATAATCAGTTAACACTTTTTCTTCAAGGTAGATTACTTCTTAGGATGCTTTCCATAAATCTTTACCTATGTAAGGGAATTCATGTTATTCTATTCAGGGAATATTTCTTGATCCATTCCCTAATTCTAAAGAATATAACTTATTTAAGACCTATAAATGTACTTAATATAATTATAAACTATACTCCTTGGTGCATAAAGGCAATACAGAAACTAATATACACACATAAATACACATACACATTTATTCCTTCCCTCTTTCTCTTCCTCTCCCCTCCATACACCCCTGCATTGGGACCTCATATGCCAAAAGTAAAAGTAAGGAAACAAGAAGAAAAAGATTGAATTGATTAGTATATAAGGAAGATAATAAGTTAACCTAGAATAGAAGTTGATTCGTAAAGCAGCAATAAAATCTGTTACTATCACATTCCTTGACTCCCTCAAAAACCATTCATAATACCATTTAAACTATTTTATAAACAGATGCAAAAATTACTCATAAAACATATACTTCTAAAATACAATGAATTTTGTTTCAATAAACATGCTTCTTTTATTATTTTGTAGGAAAAGAAAATATTTTAATTTTTACAAGGAATATATGTTTTCCATTTTGAGATTTTATTGATGTGAAATAGTTTCAAAAGAGCATTTTAGCAGTCATTTTGATACTGGATTTCAGTTTTATACATTTATTCAAAGACTTTTATAAACACTATAAATTTTAAAATATCTGAAAAAGTTATAGTGTATTTCATAAGTACTCATATATAATAAGCTTATTTTTAAGACTTTATTTTTAAGTAATTTCTATACCCAATTTTGGGCTTGAATTCAAAAGCCCAAGATCAAGAGTTGCATGCTTTACCTACTGAGTCATCCAGGTGCTCCATTAGCTTAATTGTAAGTAAAAATCATCTTCTGTAGTTTACTAATGATAGTTGTAATACAGGCTTTTTCAGTGAAACTATAAACATTTACTTTATGCTATAACCATGGACACTATGAGTTTTTGCCTCATCAATAAATTAATATATCAATAAAAATAACTGAATATCTCAGTGCTTATTGAGTAAACTTTAATTACTATCATTACTACATGTCAAACACAAAATCTTCATTAATGTGTGTTTTTGTGTGAGAGAGAGATGCAAAACAACAGGAAAGAAAGAAATTACACTATTTCTTTATGTTTGTAAAAAATACATGACAGTGCATATAAAAAAGTGTAACTATAATAAAGATTTCTGTATGACTCTATACAATCTAAGTAGTGTTCAAACAAGGTGACTAGGTGCATAATCTTTGGAAACAGAAATTTGGTTCAAATTCCTGGCACTTCTACTTAACATCTGAGTGAGCTTGAATAGCTTTTATCATGCTATGGTCCTTAGAGATATCTTATGTAAAGTAGAAATGAAAATCTAAAAACATCCACTTCCCAGGGCTGTTGCGTGGATTCTATGATATCTAGCCTATGATCCAGCACCTGAGCTGTGTTAATTAATAGCTGTTGACCTCATGCTTCCTTATGTAGCCAGGCTTTGATTTCTAGAACATGACCTCTCCTAGCTCTCCTATGTCTTACTCATTGATACCAAAACAGAGCTCGCAAGACTCCCACAATCTGCTCCTGCTGCTCTTTCAGCTTTATCTCTTAGTTCTGCCTTGCCAATATCCATCAAACCCAAAACCCAAAAATATCTCCCCACATACAATACTGCTTCAGCTTCTATACCTAGTGCATTTTTTTAGACACTTATAATACTCTTTGACCACATTGCCATCCTTTCTTCCCATAGATATACAATCTTTGTCCCCAAATTTTTGGGGGAATTTGGAGAAAAGGCAAGTAGGGTATGCAACCTCTGAACTGAAGGTATACGAGTGTGGAGGGGACCATAATTAGTGGAGCAGGCCTGTTAGAAAGAATAATAGTGACTATAATTTATAGCTCTTGGAGCAGCTAAGCTAATCCAACTGTGACAAAGTCTAAAAAAGGAAGCAAATAAGAACCCATTCATGTTAGACTACAAAGGGAACCACCGTATGAAATGGTCTTACATGAGTAAAAGAAAGCAAAGTACGAAGGAATGAGTGTTTTATTTTGTATTGAACCCATGTGTTCCAATATGGACAAATTGGATGCAAAAAAAAAAGTTTCAATTTAGGACAAACACCGGCAAGTATAATTTGTCCTTTGAGATTTTACTCAGAAACCTAGGTAGCCATCCTTGATTTCACCACTGCCATAAGACATTTATTAGTAGCTCCTATTGTACTGTCTTTTGTATTCACCTCTTGGCACCAGAGTATATAAAAAACACTTATTTAAAGTCTACCTTTACTACACTGACCTCTATCAAGGAAGGGCCCCTTTCTAATTAATCTTTTCTTACCCAAGAGATTGGGCAGGGCACACTTGAATTACCACAATAAATAGAATAGATGAAAATAAATAAAAGAATAAAATTTATTCCAAAGAGAAATTCTGTGGTGAGAAGGAAACTCTTGAGGAATTTCTGGTGGAAGACCTCATTTATCTTAATGAGATCAAAGGTAGAAAGTCTACAGAGAGAAAGGCAAAGACAGCTTTGGAATTGAGAAGAGACAGAAGACTGGCCATATGCACTATGGGAAACTAGATAAGGAGTTAACAATGAATGCAGCAGTAGAAGGATTTGCCAGCATTAAGGTTCCACAGAGTGCTTATGATTCTTGTTCATCTGGTTGTATGGGAAAGTCTTTTGTAGCCCATCTATGATTTCGAAAGTTTCTAAATTACTTCTAAAAGCTCTACTTTACCCCAAAGTTGCTGAAGGTTGAAATGGAGTTTAGTGGAATGTAAGGTAAGAAGTGTGGGGAAATCCAAGAAGAGCAAACAAATCTTAAGGCCAAGAGGAAATACGGCAAGAAAAGAAAACATTATCAAATATAGCACCCCCCACCCCCTTCTAGAGACTGTTTTCAGGTCTCCTTACTGTCCTATTTGCTGACCAGAAGTCAGCACGCTGGCACAATGAAGTCTGTCCATGCCCCTGTTAGATGCACTTGTACCATTGTCACAGAAACTTGGTCCACCCACTATTTAGTGAAACTATGTCGTTCCTCACCCTGTTAATATGGTCTGAATCTTTGTTAGCTTTAAGACACGGATAAATTATTCATTATTTTTATTTGTGAGTTCACAGGTCCACTTTACATAGTGCTTTGGGCAAAGTGTGAACTTGTGGACTGGAGTGAAGTAAACTTTTACAAACGAGGTCGGTAATGTACAAAAAGACAGAAAGAAGGTCTCCCAGGACAGAAGCACAGAGTTCAGTGCTTGATAGGAGCCTAAAGCAAAACCACTAAAATTTGTTTTTAAATATCAACAAAAGACAAACTGTTAGCATCAAAATAGAAAAACAGGAATCTGAGTAGTGTGACTTAGATGATTTTATCCATCAACATATGCAAGAGACATGGAAGGTGGAGTTCAGAACTCTGTGAACTGTGTCCTGGATACGGCCACACTTTGCTCTGGATCCAAAATCCCAATACCATCTGTCTCTCTCCCTTTCAATTCCTAACACAGAAATCAATCCTTTGACTATGAATATACCAAACAGCAATAACTCCGCTACAAGTTAATCAATGATCACATTGAGTACATATACTGACACTAAATCTTTAGTGTACAATTCCCTCCAAGACCATTTCTTACTCTAAACATTTTTTAACAAACTATACTGCTCTACCCAATAGCCTCCTGTAACTTGGTGAATCAAATCATCCCAGGGTGTAACGTAAAAGTGGAATTTCTGGCCCTATGATGTAAGAAATCCAGAAACACGTTTTCACCAAGGTGTATCTGAATTTCCCTGAGTCTGCTAAAGCAATATGTACCAAGATCATATCGTTCAGAAAATTGTTATGTTGATATTTCTCATTTTCATTTACTACTCATTTAGCATTTCCTTTGTGCCAGTTCCTGTCCAATTACTCAATAACTACTAACTCAGGGAATTTCTCATGATTCCAGAGGAGATAGGTTCTGCTATTACCACATTTTAGGACGAGAAAACGGAGAGGCCCTCTGAAGGTTAAATCACTTCACCACAGTTAGCAGAGTCAGGATTCAAACCCACACAGCCTAGCTGCAGTATACACTGGTAACCACTATCAAGCTATTGCTCATGGGAGCAATGCTACATTTGGAACTTTAAAATAGATCTTTATGTCCAAAGTCATTATTATAGATGTCTTTCCTTTTAACATTTTACAATAGTGTAAAACATAAACTTATTATTCTCTGCTATCAGATACAAAGAATATCTTACCAGTTATCTCTGTTATCACAGAAAAGAATATTGGTGAGAAATGACACAGGTTTAGATGATCTGAAGCTGAGGTGGCACCTGAGCTCTGCATTTATTCCACTGGGAGAGCCTTTGATGACTATGCCTTTTGGAAACGTCATACCAAGAGGGTGAGCCTCTTCATCATCAAGAAGTCTTGCTGTGGGAATCTGGACATTTATCATTGAATCTCTGTTTAAAATTAAAAAAAAATGGTTCAAAATACATGCAAGTAATCAGATTTAAATATGTCTTCCTCTGATTTTTGAATCATTAGAAAAACTAACGAGATATTTACAATAATGTGCTCAATTATTAAAGATATTTTTACATCATCTATTATTTTCTGGTCACAATAAAAGATTGATAATGTATTAATTTGACCACATAAGATAATTCAAAGTTCCTTCTGTCTTCTATGAATTAAAAAAGGAGATTAGGGATGCCTGGGTGGCTTAGTGGTTGAGCATCTGCCTTTGGCTCAGGGCATGATCCCAGAATCCCAGGATTGAGTCCCACATTGGGGCTCCCTGCAGGGAGCCTTCTTCTCCCTCTGCCTGTGTCTCTGCCTATTTCTCTGTGTCTCTAACGGATAAATAAAATCTTTAAAAAAGTTAAATTAAAAAATAAAAGTAAGATATTAAAATCCCTGATTAAATATATGTTTTTATGGATAGCCATACTATAAATAGTACTGTTCTTAAATGTATCCTTATAAAAAATTACCAAAACTTTCCAATTGATAGCTAAAGCTTTAATGCATATAAACTAAATATGACACTAACAGATGTATATACCCACAAAAAATTTTTACCATGGATACTATTAAGCACTTGTGTACATATCGTGAAGAGTTTCTAACCATTACTACTAAAAAATTACACTTAATGTTCACGTATTTCATTACATACCATACCTATAGTTCACTTAACCAATCTAAAATGTTTATGATTTCTAATAACACGGTACTTAGTATTCACTTTTAAATCTAACACTTGATAACTTTTAGTGGTCAGTAAATATTTAGCCATAGTACTTTAAAATTGTATTATATATGTAGGTTCTTATAGCAAATAAGAAGTGTTATCAAATGGGAATCATATTTCCCTAGTATGTTAATTAGAATGAAGATCATTCAGCTAATTCACTAAAGAAAGTAAAGAAAATCTCAACTTGAATTACTTAAACTTATATGGATCATTGCATAAAAAATTAAAAAGATAATTTATAAATTAGGTTTGAATCCAATTCTGTCATTAATTTGCTAAGTGTCATTGGATAAGTCATTAATGCTGATGATCTTATTGTACATACAATAGGAGACCATGTTATATCATGTCTACAGTCCCTGTCACATGTTCATTTTAGTATACTGTATTTTTCAAAATTCAACTTTTGACTTGAGATCATCTTTAAGTTGATACCTTGATACATTAATTCAAAAGTTGAAAGAGTAAAACATTAATCCATATATTAGACTATGTTTCTTGATTAAAAAAAAACTTTAGCACAATATAATTCAAGCCACTTATATTTTCTGTTTAACCTACAGAGACTAATGTCTAGTTAAAAGAAAGGGTCTTAAAAGAACCATGAATCCCAAAGTTGTCCAGTTAATGTTGAACACCTACACTCTTGTCACCAAATGGCATTCAGAGAAAGCTATATGGTGTAAGTAAGCACTCATTGTATCTTGCAGGCCAAAGGTTAGAAACTAAAGGTTGCTCTGGGCTCTACAGCTTGAAAAATACCCATTTATTTTCAACCATCACAACACATATGGAACTCTTTTATCTGGATCTCAAAATGCTTAACTGTAAAATAAGAGATTGAACTAGAGATAGAGAGGCTCTGAGGTAGCTACAAGATCTGGAAGTTTGTGAAAATAATGCGTACAGGCAATTCACAATGGTGCACAAATCCTCACAAATTGTATAATTTTAGAATTTTTTTTTAAATATTTTATTTATTTATTCATAGAGACACAGCTAGAGAGAGAGAGGCAGAGACACAGAGGGAGAAGCAGGCTCCATGCAGGGAGCCTGACGTGGGACTCCATTCTGGGTCTCCAGGATCACGCCCTGGGCTGCAGGTGGCGCTAAACCGCTGCGCCACCGGGGCTGCCCAAATTGTATAATTTTAACATGTCAACTAGCCACTCTTTATATCTATTTCTTTATAGATATGTGTATATTCGTAAATAAAAAAATTTGTTTGGCTTTTCTTTTTTGTTTTATATAAAGGATATCAATATACATAGTCTTGCTTTATTTTCAAAATAAATTTTATCTCATTGCTTTGTTTCTAAGATTTTTAACAGAGTTGTCTCATTAGCTGAAGTTCATCTACATCACAGCTATATTTGTGTACACATATCACAAATTATTATCCTTTTATCTTCATAGAATATTTGTGCAGTTCCCAGGTTTTGCTGTTCTGAATAATGGTACTATGAAATAATTTCAAACATATCTTATAGTACACACATGCAAGGGTTTTTCTTGCATATCCTGCGAAGTGGAATTACTGGGCTGTGAGATATACAAATATTACACTTTGCATTTTATTATTCAAGGTGGTCCTAACTCATTGACATTGTAACTAGGACCTGACTTCTTAACGTTTACCTGCCTATAACAGGCAAAATGCTTATCTTATTGTAGTCTCTAATTTTCATTTCCAAATTTACAAAAAGGTCAATTACATGTTTTCAAATGTTCATTATTCACTTATGAATCCTATTCTGTGAAGTACTTATCCAAGTTATTTGTCAATGTTTCTGTTGAGTGATTTGATATTTTTCTAATTTTTATCATTTATTTTTTTGTTAGCATGACTTTAAGTCTTAAGAAATTCTCTACCCACAGATGTTAAAATTGTTTCCCAAAATATTTTTTAAAAAATTTTCCTTTCACATTTAAAACTTTAAGCCATTTGTAATGGATCTTTGTGTATTATGAGACAGGAATCCAGTTTGAAATATTCCCCACAGATAACCAATTGTTCCAGTGCCATTTATTGGCTACTAACCTGTCTTCTCCAAAGATCTACAACACCTTTTTTTTTTTGTCAAATATTCACTACCCATTCATATATTTTTTGTCAAATATTCACTATCCATTCATATATGGGTTTTCTGCAAGTCTCTTTATTCTATTCCTTTGGTCATTTTATCTACCACTATACCACTACCATATTGGTTTAGTCTTGATATTTGGTAAGGGAAGCCCTTCTTATCTTACTCTTCTTCAAGAATGACTTGGCTATTCTTTTTCTTTTTTTTTCTTCCTCAAAGATTTATTTATTTATTTGAAAGAGACAGAGAGAGAGGGAGAGAGAGAGAGGAAGAGTGGAGGGGGAGCAGAGGGAAAGTAAGTCCTCAGCAGACTCTGCATTGAGTGCAGAGCCCAACATGAGGCTGGAACTGAGATGAAGACTTGAGCTAAGATCAAGAGTAGGCCGTTTGACAGACAGTCACCCAGGCACCTCAATGCTATGTATTTTAAATAGTGAACTTATATTTGCCTATTTTGATAAATGACCTTCATAGCTTAAAAAATTTACCAGATTCTTTTAATTTCCTATATAAAAGTCATCTGTAATCTACAGATGACAGTGTTTATTTTCCTATCCTTACTTATTTTATTTCTCTTAACTTCATGTATGGACTGTTTTTCAGGAAAATGTTTTAGAAAGGCAGTGATAATAGGCATCCTTGCCTTTTCTTTTTTATTTAAAGGGAATTAACTTATGTTCCAGTATCCATGATAATGTCTCTTTTAGATTCATGATAGAAACTTTTAACAATTTAAAGGATATCTCTTTTTTTCCTGTTTAAGAGTTTTATCATGATTGGTTTTGGAATTTTATCAAATGCTTTTCTACTGCTTCTGTGGAAATGATCATATCATTATTCTCTTTAATTTGTAAATGTGGGAGATGAAACACAAAGGTATTTTAGATTTTCTAACATTAGGCAAATCTTAAAATCCTGGGATACAACCAAGTTGGTCATGATTTATTAATATATTTATATTATATAATTAATATGTATTATATTAATATGTATATACAATTTAATTAAGGATCATTACATCTATAGTCATAAGAGAGACTGGCCTATAATTTATCTTTCTCATACTGTCATTGTTTGATTTTATAATAAAAATTTTTGACTTCATAAAACAAATTAGAGCACATTGTCTCTTTTTCTACTGTCTGGAAGAATTTCTATAAAGTTTGAGATACTAGTTTCTTGCAAGTTTAGTAAAACTTGCCTGTAAAAACATCAGAAGATGGTATTTTCCTTTTAAGATTTTAAATCTTTGAATCAATATTCAAGGACTATCTATGTATTCCCAGTATGGTTTTAGTAAATTCTATTTTTTTCTACAAACTTCTCATTTCATTTAAGTTTTCAAATCTGTTGGAAAAAATTTCTTCATAGTGTTTTGATTATCTCATTTTTCTCCATTGGAGATGTAATATGCTCCATTATTCTTAATATTATTTAGTTGTACCTTTTCTCTTTTTTGTTCCTCATGAGTGTCACTGTATCAGTATCCATTGTATTTTCAAAGAATCAACTTGTGGGCTCACTGAGCCTATCTTCTATATATTTGCTTTCTATTCCTATAATTTCTACTCTTTTTCATTTTACATTCTGTATTCCTTAGGTTAATATATTATTCTTATTTATTAAGTTGAATGCTTGAATCATCATGCTTTTAATCATTTTTTAATCTACTATCAGCATTTAAGATCACACATTTCCATCTAAGTATCATTTTTGCTGCATTCCATAAGTGTATATATTTGTTTATTGCTTAACCATTGGAATATAACAGATGCAGTTAACACAGATGCAAGTCTAATTGTCTAAAGAAAGCAATAGATGTGACAGTACATATTTCAAGTTTAGTCTTCTACTTTAATACTCAAACACTGTTTATATCAGTGAATGTTGTTTTCATGTTTTGATACATGATGTTTTAATTACTATTTATTTCAGAATTCAATATATCTTCTTTGACTCTCTGCAGAAGATATTTTTAGGGGCCCCTGGATGGCTCAATTGAATTGAGCGTCCAAGTCTTAATTTTGGCTCAGGTCATGATCTCAGGGTCATGAGATCAAGCCCCTCATGAGATTTTTCCCTCTCCCTCTCTCTGTCCCTCCTCCTGCTCACATATGCTCACTTTTTCTCTAAAATAATTTAAAAAAAAAGTTTTTTTTTAAAAAAATAGTTCCAAATCTAGGACAAACCTGTTAATTTTTGTTTAATGATTTCAACATTATGATTATTATCAGAAAATACAGTATATATAATGTTAACTCTTTAAAATTTATTAAATTTGAAACGGTGCTTGGGTGGCACAGTTGGTTAAGCATCTCTTAGTTTTGGTTCAGCTCATGATCTCAGGATTGTGAGATTGAGCCCAGAGTAAGGCTCTGCACTCAGTGGGGTCTGCTTGGGATTCTCTCTTTCCCTTTCCCTCTGTCCCTTCCTTCCTCATGAGAGCTCATGCTCTCACTGTCTCTCTCTCTCTCTAAAACAAATAAATCTTTTTTTTAACTGTTAAATTGAACTATAGAATGATGCACTTTGTTTTTTTAAATGTCTTCTATATGATTGTGAAAAATGTGTATTCTCTAATTGCAGGATGCAGTATTTTATAGTATTAGTTTTAATACTACTTTTAGTATTTTTAATGATGTTAGTATTAAATTAATGAGGCTTTTAAAATACCTTTTCAAATTTTCTTTATCTATGCAAGTGTTTTTGTCTTTTGGTCTCACCAATAATTGAGATATGTCTTAAAACACCCTACAGTGATGAAGGACTAGTCAATTTCTCCCTATTATTTTTTTTTAAGATTTTATTTATTTATTCATGAGAGACAGAGACAGAGAGAGGCAGAGACACAGGCAGAGGGAGAAGCAGGCTCCATGCAGGGAGCCTGATGTGTGACTCGATCCGGGGTCTCCGGGATCACGCCCTGGGCTGAAGGCGGCACTAAACCGCTGAGCCACCCGGGCTGCCCTCTCCCTATTATTTTAATCTGGGGTTTATATATTTTAAGAGTATTTTAGTTGTGCATGCAATCTTAGAATTCCAAGCGAGCTGCATCTTTTATAATTAATGCATTTTTAATATTAAAACTATATCTTTACCTCTTAAATAAGGTTATCACATGTAAAATTAATGCTGCTATCCAGCTTTCTTATGGTGATTCTGCTATACCTTTTCCTAAGATTTTAGTTTGCTGATTCTTAACTGGGAGTGGTTATGCATCCCAGGGGACATGTAGCAATGTGTGGAGACAATTTTTTTCTGTCATAACTATAGAAGGATGCCACTGGTTAAAGACCAAGGAGGCTGTTAAATATCCTACTATATACAAAATAGCCTTGGGGGGGGGGAGCATCTTCCTCAAAATGTCAACAGTTCCTGAAGTTGAGAAACTCTGCTTTACTTTAATCTTTGTTGTCCTTATGTTTCACATATACCTTTTTTAATAGATAGTTGGATTTTTAAAATTACTTTAACTTCCTCTTTAATCAGAGAAAATTACATTTAAGCTTTTGTTGATTTCTATACTGTTTGTATAGGTATATACAATCTTAGGTTTAGTGGATGCCCTTAAAAATTTACCCTACACACTTTGTTTTGAAATTCCTAAAAGTGGGGGCACCCGGGTAGCTCAGTGGTCGAGCATCTGCCTTTGGCTCAGCTCATGATCCTGGCATCCTGGGATTGAGTCCTGTATTGGGCTCCCCACAGGGAGCCTGCTTCTCCCTCTGCCTATGTCTCTGCCTCTCTTTGTGTGTCTCTCATGAGTAAATAAATGAAATCTTTAAAAATAATAATGAAATAAAATGAAATTCCTAAAAGTTATATTTGGTTCATTTTTAAGTCTATATAGTATAATTCCATGTTAATTACTAACTTTTGTAATGCTATCTCTTTATATAATTTATCTATATTCTGTGTCTGATAATTCCAATACCTGAATGGCTAAAGAGTCTAAGTTTCAAGATGGTTGGTTGTGCTGACTCTAAATGATGGCATCTTCCCTTCCTGTAAGTTTTGCGATACTGGCTAATGCACTCATGTCTGGTTGAGAGCAATTATGGAAACTGAAATATGAGCCAAAACTGAGGGTGACTTCATGTAGAACAGCGGTTCACAAAGTGTGGTCCATGTATCAGCAGCATCAGTTTCATTTGAAAACTTACTAAAAAATACAAATTGTTACATACCATTCCAGGCTTCCTAAGTCATAAGTTCTGGGGATGGGAAGCAAAAATCTCTGTTTTAAAAAGTGTCTCAGGAGATGCTAATAGACACCAACATTTAAGAACGACTGATCTAGGGAAGATTTGCTGGCTTCCACTGAAAGGTAGAAGGATTTACTCATGTGACCTATTTTAGTCTCTTCCAGTGTCCCTGGATTAACCCAGGAATTTGAGATTGTTTTCCTACCTTGAAGAAGTTGTCTCAAGTTTTAAGAATAAGTCTGCATTTGGCAGATTATTACAGCTCACCACTTCTACTCTGGTTTCAGCTTATAAGTATGTATTAGTTTGGTTTGTTTTTATTGGAGCCCTTTGGAGACCTCTCGCATTTTTCAGAAGCCAGCGAAAATTAATCAATTTTCAAATTAAATTAATCAATTTAAAAAACATAAAAAACAGAATCCACTTGTTTTGTAGAGCAAGGGTACAAAATGTATCTAGGGCAATACAGTATTAGGGTTTGGGTTGCTGACAAATTAAAAAAAATTAAAACAGATCGCACTCTGCTATAGTATGTACATGTGATAGGCAGAATTTTGAGATGCCCGCCAAGAGTCCTGTCTCTTAGTGTACATACAAACTCTACATAATTCCCACCCTTGGGTGCCAGAATCTGTAAATACAGTATCACTTTGATGATTAAGTTGTGTTATACAGCAGTGGTAAAGGGACTCTCCATATGTAATTGACATCCCTAGTTAAATGAATTCAAATAAAGCAAAAGGGAGATTATCATGGGTGGATCAGAGCTAATTAGGTGAGATCTTAAAAGAAGGTTGGGAAGTCAGGGACTGAGAAGTCAGAGAGATGGTCTACTTCTGATTTTCAGTGAGTAAAGTACCATGATTGGGGGAGGAACCACATGGCTGGGATTTGAGGGTAACCTCTAATTGCTGAGAGTAGGTCCCAGCCAACAGCCAGCAAGAAAATGATATCTTAGTTCTACAATTAAATGGATCAATTCTGCCTACAACCAGAAAGCTTGGAGGAGGACTGAGCCTCAGATAAGATAGCTGCTATAGCTTGCACCTTGATTTCTGCCTACTGAGATTATAAGCAGTGGATGTAGCTAAACTAAGCTGGACTCCTAACACAAAGAAACTGTGAGATAATAAATTCATGTTTTAAGGCACTAAGTTTGTGGTAATTGTCACATAGCAATAGAGAGGTTGCTTCCCATACCATGAAGAGAAACGTATCAAACATTTTTTTCATATCAAACATTTTTACAAGAAAATCAAATGACAGATTATGAACTAATTAAGTGGGCTTTTTAAATTTTTTAAGTTAAATGAAGCTAAATATTTTAATGCTTCATTATAACTGTAGAAACAAGTCAGACATTGCTCATGACTCACATAACACAGACACAAACAAAAAAAGCACATTATGAAAATGTGGTTGATTCACATTAAGCATTTACCTGAAATAGTTTTGAGGTAAAATTTTGATATCCATCACAGTTGTAATATCCAGAGGAACAGGAGTGAAAAATATGAATGGAGGGTCAAATAATAACTTGGGTGACTTCACCTCTCCAACCAAGCATAGCATTCGATAGCAAACCGGATTATCATTTAGACGAATGGGAATATAAGCTGTGTATTTTCTAGGATGATCTAATGAAGAACAATTTTTAAAAGTATCTTAGATTTGTTCATATACATAAAAAAATTTACATAGTTTAAACCTTATAAAATATTAAAATGTACTATGAGGTTACAGCTCAATGGGAAACAGATTACCCAGAAACTGGAATTACCCTGCCAAGGAACTTGAAACATGTAATGAAATGTCATTGACTCAAAAGTATTCTGAAGTGCACTATGTCTAGAAATAGAGCAGGTCTCCTTAGAGCAGATTATTATTATTATTGGAAAATACCTATACCTGAAGGAAACAGTGCAACGGGACTTCTTTTTGGGTTTGTTTTCCGTGCCTTAACAGGAGTTGCCCATCCCTTTAGCATTTGCAGTATGAAGATGAGGTCAGATAGTTGCAATAAAGGTCAAAGGGGACCAGTATTGAGAAATGGGTATGCTACGAAGAAAGGAATATTGTTCCTCCCAGATTTCTAAGTTTATGGAAAGCTGCCAGGGTTGACTGGCCAATTTCACTTTGTAGGAAAAGATAGGAAATTCCCATATGGCAACTCACTATGAGGAGGCATTTTGTGTTGGAGAAAAGAGCTCAGCATCTGAGGCTACAGGCTAGTCCCAGACAACAGGATCCATCTCAGCAAGCTGCTAATTCCCTTTTAGACCCAAATGCCCGAACACAGTGTCTCATAGAGAGAAAAAAGTGATCTGGTGAGCATGAATTCAAGGTATTATCTTAGAATTCAAAAACAGAACACTGAAATGGCCTGGCATAGATCAGGGCCATCAAGAGTATTACCAGAGCAAATGATGAGTGTTCCAGATGATGCATGTACAAAGGTGACACATTGTGAACCATACACACAAAAAATGGAATCATTGAACTGATCATACCCACTAGATCTCTCTGTACTGGGTGCCTTCACTTGGTCAAATCAGTCTTTTACTTGTCCATATAGTCTGAGAACCTTGGAAAATAAGATATGGCTGGAGAGGGAAGTGAATTAGTGACTTCCTACTAATAATGACAGATGAGCACAGGAAAGACTATGTGAAAACATGAGAAACTATATCTATACCTTGAGCTGGAGAATGAATTATAATAGAATTCATGTATTTAAAGCATTGTAAATCTATAGAGAAATGGTGGTTTCTTTTAACAAATCTGATATTGTAAAAATTATTTTGGGGAGAAAGAAAATCAATTTCATTACTTCCAGAGTTAAGCAAGGTTTTAATTAAGACTTACTGAATTCTGAATTTCAAATGGGTTGCTTTGAGATTATTTCTGGGTTTCATACCTGTTAAATGTTTCTGAGTCATAGAAAAAGTGGGTTCCCTGTGTAACCTAAAACTACTGGATATTCAGTAACACATTTTTCTAAGCTCAGGTGGGCCTTCTCTCTCATCTGAGATGTAAGTTATATAAATGTGTTAGAGGCATGTTTAATTTTCTTAAGAGTGAGGTTGAAATCCTAAGAAGGCAACTCATAGATTTGACTGCTTAGGCTTAGCCTCATACTAAAGGAAAAGTCAAATTGAAATGTCTTTTATTTCCTTCTAGATTATCTATTTCATTTCATCTGGATAAAAATGTTGACACAGACATAAAGGAGAAGCTCTATACAGAAATACAGATAGTGGCTTTAGCTGGATTGGCTTTACTGTAATTTCTTTCAGGATCAGACATAGTAGAAACTGAGAAGAAATACATAATGAAAAAGTAATTACTTTTACAAAATAAACTTCAGAATGGGGATAGTGTGCAATGTTCTTTATTATATTTTCATAGTTCTAAACAGAGATAATAAAAGATGAAACATTTTTCAAACTTATTAATCACAGTACTCTATGTACTGTTTCCCACACATGAAACTAAAGTGATTATAAAATGCCACACAGAAGAAAACAAACAAACAAAAAAATGTCATGCTAATAGATGTACCAGGACACTGAGTTAAGGCAACACAGTGCTAATAGCATATTATGAGAAAACACACAGCTAAATGAACTACAAAAAGCTTAAAAGCCATAAGAGGTTCTTATCCTGCCTTTTCTGTTGATAACATAGCTAGTTCTTGGTATTTTATTTAGATTGCCACATTTTTTTTTAACGTATAAAAGTGTACTGCCTCAAGGATTCTGATGCAAGTGATTTACTGAGGGTATGCTCTCGGAAGGAACCTGTGACAGGTAAAGAGAGAGAAGCAAAACCGAGGAGGTCAAGAAGTTTTGAAACTTGTGATTTTATATTCCAGATTCAAACTGATCCCATAGGCAGCTATGGGATGTGAATTCAGCAGAGATGTTGTTCTACCTGAGGGAGAGTTAGTTGGGCCAGTTGAGGTAGTAGCAGTGGTGAGGCTTACCCTCCTAGGCATCTCTGCATGTAGCATCTTCCTTCAGCCAAGGGCAACCTTCTAGAGAAAGGGACAGATATAACCTGTCAGGAGCCAATACCACAACTGAGAGATGGATGGGAAAACCCAGTAATGGGAATCTGGATGGGCCCAAACAGCATATACCAGAGACTGCAGACCTAATGTTGCTTTACAAGTAAGAATAATTGAGAATAACAGGTGAATTACTACAACACCCTTTTAAATAGAAAAATTGTCTGGAAATGGCATTTAGTGTGCTTATTTAGTTATGGCATATAAACTATAAAGGTATTGAAGCAGATGCTTTAAATTAAAGACAAATACCAGTATAGAGTTCCTCAAAAAGGGAAAAAAATATTCATAGATGTCTTTTCAAGCATCATCCTGCTGTTTCTTTGCTTTGGCCTGCTTAAAGAATCTAGTTGTCAATACCCTCATTTCCTGAAGCTCATTACGGGAAAGAATTCTGTATTTTTATGCAATAGGGATTCTCCTGTTGGGCATTTTCTAAGTAATGTGCTCCTGGGTTGTGAAACATTGAGGCTATTTACATGAGAACTCAGAACAATGTTATCTAACCACCCAAATTAGATTCAAGAACAATGGTTTGGTTTCAGAAGGGATTGGAGATCTGCTTAGAGACCAGGATGGGTCACATATTCTATCACAGCCCCAGTCTCTGTCCCTGTGGCAGTCCAAGGAAGAGATAAGAAAGGGGGAGTGAAAAGTAAAAACCACCTCCCTAAAACTTTTGAAAGCCCTGACAGTATAAGGCAGTCCTGCTTGGTGGCCAGTACGACAGGTCTAGCCAAAGTGGAGTTAGGTAGATCTACTCCACTTTAGGTGATATTGACCACAAAGAATGCATTTAAAAGGCAATGGAAACAGAATGAGACATAAAGGCCCTGACCAAGGCTCAGGATAAGAAGCTTATTCCACAGTCAGATTATAAGAAAAGAAAATGGCAGAAGCAAAGTATAATCCATTCCCAATGCCTGCTAGAAGAAAATGGCAGATGTTACAGGATAGCTCAAAGAACAAGGCTAAGATCTCACCAGGTATAACCGAAAAATCCTAAATCAATAATGAATGATCCATACACATACACACACACACACAAAGGCTGTCAACAGAAACTGTCCCTGAGAAACTTCAAGCATTGGACATATATACATATGAATATACATAAATATATATATAAGTTGTGGAATTGAAAAATACAATGTCTGAAATGAAAAATTCACTAGAGAAATTCAACAGTAGATTTGAACTAGCTAAATGGAGAATCAGCCAACATGAGAAAATGTCAGTTGAATTTATTGATTCTGAGGAACAGAAAGAAAAAAAGGAGCTTTTTTTTGTCTTTAGCTGAAAATGATATTTAAGCCTGAATTCTAAGCTACCTCTGAGACTTACTCATTTTCCCCTGAGTTATATCCTATGTATACATGAAAATACATGTTAATAAACTTGGGTTTTTCTTCCAAAAAAGAAGAAAAAATGAAAAATGAATAGAGCCCCAGAGATCTACAGGGTACCATCAGGAACACCAATATATGCAAAATAAGAATCCCTGGGATGGAAAGGAGACGGAGAGGGAGAAACATTGTTGGAAGAAATAATGTGGAAAAAAAAGAAAGAATGGCCAAAAACATCCAAAATTTAGTTTAAAAATTTTTAATTAAGATGTAGCAATGCCTTTTCTGATCTAACCTTGGAAATCACACGCCATCACATCCATAATATCCCATGGGTGATATAGCAGTCCTATCTGATAAGGGAGAGGACTCTACAAGGGCATGAATACCAAGAGGTAAGGATCATTGCAGGTCATTTTTGGGGACAGTGACCACAAAATTCTAATATAAAACTCCTTAAAACTGTTTTAAGAACACATAAAAAGTAACCTAAACTATTGTGTATGTGATAAAATTAAATAATATTGAGGGATGAATTGAAATATAAATAACAAATATAAGAAAAAGGTACTTACTTGGACAGAAACTTATGGAAATATTACATTCTTCATGTGATTGCAGAATCCCACTCAACACACTAATCTTGAATGTGCCATCTTTGAAGAGTTTCCTAGTGTTACCAATATCCAAAGTCCATTCCACATCTTGTTTTGAAGTATTATATAAGACAAGATCCTATTCACACACAAAATAAATAAAAGAAGACATTTATAAAAATTAAAATATACAATATAAAATATAACTGTTTTACCATGCCAACTTGAAGAACCTATGTACAAAGTCAAATGATTAAAAGTGGAATTCATGGACAGATTATTTTAAAAGTGATTTTAGATTAAAAAAAGAAGGTATGCAAGTATGTTCATAGCCTATTAACAATTATGAAAAATACACAAAAGATAAAGACTGGGTAAAATAAAAATGTCAAAATAGCTAGCTAGCTAGCAAGGATGCAGAATAGCTACAACCTTCATTCACGATTGTGAGACTGTAAAATGATACAGTCACTTTGGAAGACAGTTTGGCAGTTTCTTTTGTTAAACATACAACTACCATATAACCCAGTAATCCCACTCCTAAGTATTTATGTAAGTGAAGTGAAAATTTATGTTCACATAAAAATGTGTATGTTAATGTTTATAATAGCTTTGTTCATTACCAAACAATGGAAGAAAAAAAGAGATTTCCTTCAAATAATGAATGGATAAACATTCCATACAATGGAATAAAATTCAGTGATAAAATAAGTAAAGTATTAATTCATACAAAATCAGAAATGAATATTAATATATTTTGCTAAGTGAAAGATGCCAGACCCAAATGGCTACATTTTATATAATTAAATTACCTATCAATCTGGAAATGCAAAACTATGTAGATGGAAAAAAAGAATCAGTGGTTGTGAAGTCTTGGTGAAAGGAGTAGTTGACTGCAAAGGGGTTACACTGAGAATTTTTAGTATCGTGAAACTGCTCTGTAATGCATTGAAGTGGTAGACAAATTATTCAACATATTTTTCAAAACCCAAAGAACTGTATACTACTAAAAGTCAACTTATATGTATGGAAATTAAAAACAACCAATCAAGATGTTGAGGATACCAGAAGGGGTTGTAGATTACAACATGCTATATTACAAATGTATGAAATAATCTCACTGAAGTTAATGGGGGCAAGGAGGAATGGCCTAAGTAACTGAAAAACTGTGTTTTGACTGGAAACTATAAAGCTAAAGACAAAAAATAAACACTGTGGTCTAGTTGGTAAATGTGTTAGCAATTCTACCTACACTTTAAAAATTCTGAAACTTCTTTACTAGTACAGTACAGTTAAAAAAATAAGCAAATAAATTACAAATAAGAGAGCCAGATTTCTCATTGTCAGAAAAAGTAGTTAAAAATGAGCAAGGAAGAAAGACTGGAATAAATCTTGTAGTGCTAGATTAGAGTCAGAGATAGCAGTTTGAACTCATCTTTAGATAGACAGATAGATGATAGAGATAGAATGATAAACATAAATTATAGATATATGTATATTTCAAGTTACTATACATAAAAGTATTTCCAGATTCTATTTGCCAAAAGGGCATAGAACATGTGATACCCTAGTAGCAGCTAGGATACCTAGTGTACAGATCTTGGTTTCTAAATATCATTCTTCCATAAATGGTACTGGGGTTTGTTGGAGAAAATAATGATTCTAAAGATGGAAAAGGTAAAATGAAATATAAGCCTGGACCATTTTGTAGTGCCAGAAAGTATGAGAATGCTTAATGATGATGAAAGCATGTCAAAGAGCCAGCTTAAAAGAACTCTAAATGGCCAGAGCTGGAACAATTTCAATAACAAAATAAATAATGTAATATTGGATTATAACTAAAAGCATAAATATTTGTGAGGTTGCACTGATATGTTAAGTAATAAAATAACTACTAAAATATTTTTTCTTATACAACAATTCCATATAATATATGTAAATATCCCCCTCCAGGTGCAGCTCGATTCCCAAAATTTTGAGTGGTGTGCTGAAATCGATGATTCACTTCCAAAATGTAGTGTATGAAAAAAGAAAAATAGTTTGCCCAACTTTTTTTCAATTCTCCTGACATATATCACCAGTGATAAGTCATGCTGATATCATGAACTCCCTTCACATGATGTGACAAAAAAGACATTTCACCACTGTTACATTTTTCCCTAAAACCCATGAAAAATAATAATGCAGCTGAGTCAGATGGAAAAAATCAGACAAACCAAAATTAAAGAGCATGCTGAAACAATACCAAACCAGTACTCTTAAAAATCGACAAAGTAATAAAAAAATTAGCAAGATTGAGAGCCTGCCCCATATCAGAGGAAACGAAATGAAATATGGTACCCTGGACTGGACCCTGAGACAGTAAAAGGACATTACTGAAAAACTGGTGAAACCCAAATAGAATCTGTTGTTTAATTAATAACTTGTACTAATGTTAATTTCTTAGATTTGAAAAATGTTCTATGGTTGTATAAGGTGTTAAGAATAATGATGTGTGAAGAGTATACATAAACTCTTTGCACTCTCTTTGTAATGTTCTGGTAAATCTGGGAGCTGTATGCAGGACTTATGTGTAGACTTGTCTTTCCAGTGCAACATACTATCAGAATAAAAATAACAATTAGGTATTGTTTCAACTTTACTCTTCAAGATTTGAAAAGAATAGAATGATTCATACAATTGGCACCACAACAAAATGATGTACTTCATCTCTTTCTAAAGTATGGTTGATTTAAAATATCCAGGATTTAAAAATTAGGCAATTTTATTTCCAATGCCTCTCAGTACTTAAACATCTATTTAGGTCTAATATTTGCACGTTATAAAGAAAACAACATCTTTTAAAACACAAGGCGGACATGAAATTGTACTAGCATTTGAATGCTTCATTTTTCTCATTCTAAAATGAGGGAATGGTAGGTAAATCAAAATACTGTACACTTTACAATCCTATCCCAAGAATGGAACTAATACAGTCATCCATAAAGAAACATTGTTTAGTATGTGTAGTATTGTGTTATTTTTTATAAATAATTTTATCAAAATGATACATGTCCATTTACACAAATAATTCAAAAATGCTTATAAAAAACAGTTGTCCCAAACAAATTAAAAAGAAAAAAACAGTTGTCCCACTCAACTCCTCCTTATCCATAGTTCTGCTTTTAAGAAGCAACAAATTTCAGCTAACTTTTGGATTTTCTCTAATAGTTACAGCCTTATGCTAAATACAACATTGATATGGCTTACTTTAGGGTTTTTTGTATTGCTGCTATAACAAATTACCACCAACTTAGTGGTTTAAATCAATACAAATTTATTAAATTACAGTATTGTAGGTTAGAAGTTCAACAGGCATGTTGCTGGGCTAAGATCAAGGTGTTAGAAGGAACTATGATACTTTTGGAGGGCTCTAAGGAAGACTGTTTCCTTGCCATTCCCAGTTTCTAGAGGGCAAATAAATTCTTTGGCAGATGGCCTCCTTCCACTATCTTCAAATCCAGTAACATTAATTTCTCTACCCTTCGTCTGTCATCACATTTCCCTCTGAGTACAGCCAGGAAAACTCTGATTTTAACCACTCATGTGATTCAACTGGGATCACCCAGATAACCCAGCATAATCTCCCTTGCTCAGAGTCCTTCATCTCCATCACATTACACATCAGCAAAGGATCTTCTGCAATATAAGAGAAAAGATACTCGCACATTCTAGGGATTGGAATTGGATAACTTTGAGGGCCACTACCCTATCACACAGCTATTTTGTGATTTATCAGACCCAGATATTGTCTCAGTGCCCACTAGTAAAGATGAGGATTTAGTTCATATATATAATCTTCACTCCTCTTTCAATCTCCCAATTTTGGATATTTATATTAATTCTTTCATTAGTCACCTGGTAACAATAAGCGATATATTTAAAATTCGAGTTCTTCTGTCAAGTCTAAACAATTCCCTTTACTTACCCACTATGTAAAATGAGTTTCACTCCTCTTTTCTTCTTCCATTCCCAACCGTTCTATCAACTTAATCTTCATATACACGTTGTACATATCACACACTTGCCATTTTATATGCAATACACTATTTATGATCAAGTTTTAATTCTGCTCCATAACATATTAAGACTTCTCTGTATTATATATTTGATTATGACTATGTAAATAACATTCATGGCAAATTCAAGCAGTTCATTAGAGTCACATTTCTTTCTCCATGGGGCTTTTTGCCACTCAAGAGAGAAGGCTCTTGTCTAGATCCTCTTTTATCATGCCAATTGAACAAAATTTCAATTACATAAAATAAGCTCACATTTATAAAGGGATTGCTTTTCCTTTGGAATTCAATCCAATTCAGTTCAGTAAAGCTTCCTTTCTAGCCCCACATACAAAGTCTTTTGCATCCTTGAAGTTATGGTAGAATTAGAAATCTTACTGATAATTAATACTTGCAACAGTCACATTTTAATTTCAGAAGAGATCCTTTATTCTTCTCTAATTTCATATAGTACTGTGCTATTATTTGACACATGCAATGTTAAATATTTTCTCCGTATAATTTTTCTTCAAAGCTACAGAGTTCAAAATTAATTGTTGGAAAGGCAATATATATAATAAAGGAGTACTACAAATACAAATTTCTACTATATATGCATGAGCTTCCTTCTTATGCATGTCCCTTTTTTTTTCGTTCTAGATGGATTCATTATTAGGAGACACACAGAGATATATAGTAAGAAAAAAGTAGATTGTCATAGAAGTCACTTTATTATATACCTGGACTTTTCCAATTTTTATTATTACCTTTCACCACATTTCCTTACTTGTATGGAACATGTTTCACATTAATTTAATCTTGGCTTCCATTTATATAAGGAGAGACTAGTAACTTAATTCTATTTAAAATATTTTGAATAGTCCTATTAATATATATATATATATGGTTTTATATGTATTTGTATAGTTGATAATTACTTCTGAGAAATAGGATATATATGCAAGTTCTCTAAAAATGAAAGTATTCTTATAACACATGCTTCATAATAATCAATTCAATAAACCACAAGCCATATGAAAAAAAGTTGTAAGCTGCAATAATTCTCTATACATACCTCAGTTTTTGTGACCTTATTATTAGGATCCAAAGCATGCAATGGGATTTCAAATATAAAATCAGTGCTGGATAATCTCAATGGTGCTTGCAATACTATGAGAAGAAAGTAAATATACTGGTAAAATATTAAGAGATATTAGGTTATAGACAATTATACTTTTCAACACAAAACAATAAAGAATGTTTTTATCTTTATGTACTCAGAGAGAAAACAAAGTCATACTTTAAGACATTTATAGAATATGATGGTTTATCACATCTATAAAATTCTAATTTTGTATCTTAATGGTAATTAATTACAAGTACAATATAAAGATCACTCGAGATAGTAAGAGTATAAATATACTAAATATTGAGCTGAGAATAAAGTAAACATAGTTAAAATGATCACTATAATAGAGTTTGACCAATAAAGAAGTACAGAAGTGAAAAGAAACATGTCTTTTGCAAATATTTTGTTCCAGTCAGTGGTTTGTCTTTCTGGCCTTTTGGCAGTGTTTTTGCAGAGCAGAAGCAGAGGGAGAAGCAGGCGTCATACAGAGAGCCTGACATGGGACTTGATCCAGGGTCTCCAGGATCAAGCCCCAGGCTGCAGGTAGTGCTAAACCGCTGCGCCACCGCGGGCTGCCCTCCATATAAAGTTTTAATAAATCTGGTAATACCCACAAAATAACTTGCTGGGACTTTGAGATTGCACTGAATCTCTGGATCAAGTTGGGAGGAAGTGCCATCTTAACAATATTGAGACTTCCTATGCATAAACATGGAATATCACTCCCATTTATTTCATTCCTCTTTTATACCTTTCATCAGATAAATGTCATCATTTGATAATTTTTCTTGTGTAAACCTTGTAAATACCTTGTGTTATTTATGCCTAAGTATTTCATTTTTGTTGGGTGCTAATATAAATGCTATTTTGTATTTAATTTCAAATCCCATTTGTTGATTGCTTGTATATAGGAAAGCAATTGACTTTTGTACATTAAGTTTGTATCCTGCAACCTTGTTATATTAACTTATTTGTTCCAGAATTGTTTTTAACTGATTCTTTCAGATTTTCTACATAAACAATCATGTCATCAATGAATGCAGAGTTGTAATTCTTCCTTCCCAAGCTGCGTGTCTTTTGATTCCTTTTCATGTCCTACTGCATTAGCTAGGACTTCTAGCACAATGTTGAAAAAGTGGTGAGAAGGGACAACCTAGTCTGGTTCCTGATTTTAATGAGAAAGCTTTGAGTTTCTCATCATTAAGAATTATGATAGCTGTGGGGTGTTTGCAGATATTTTTTTTTATCAAGCTGAGAAAGTTCTAACCAGCCCTCATTTACTAAGTTGTTTTCATGAATGGGTATTAGATTTTATAAAATGTTTTTTCCTCCTGAATCTATTGATACAATCATGTGATATTTTTTCTCTATCCTAGTCATATAATGAAATACACTAACTGATTTCTGAATGTGAACCAACCTTGCATACATGAGATAAATCTCACTTGGTCATGGTGCATAATTCTTGTTATACATTGTTGGACTTAATTTGCTAATATTTTGTTAAGGACTTTTTTTTTAAAAAAAGATTTTATTTATTTATTCATGAGAGACATAGAGAGAGAGAGGCAGAGACACAGGCAGAGGTAGAAGCAGGTTCCATGCTGGGAACCGGATGTGGGGCTTGATCCTGGGACTCCAGGATCACACCCCGGGCCGAAGGCAGGGGCTAAACTGCTGAGCCACCCAGGGATCCCCTGTTAAGGATTTTTGTATCTATGCTGATAAGAGATATTGGTTTGCTGTCTTCTATTCTTGTAATGCCTTTGTCTGGTTTGGTACTAGGGTAATATTGACCTCAAAATGAGTTAGAAAGCATTCTTTGTGTTTCTATCTTCTGAAAGAGATTGTAGAGAATTGATAATAGAGAACTGGTAAGATTTCTTCTCTAAATGCTATCAAGCATTTATCTATCTATCTATCATCTATTATCTATCAAAAGTCTACCCATCTGGGCCTGGTGCTTTCTGTTTTTGAAGGTTACTAAGTATTAATTCAATTTGTTTAATAGATTGAGGCCTATCCAGACTGTCTATTTCTTCTTGTGTGAGTTTTGGTAGATTGTGCCTTTCAAGAAATTGCTCCATTTTGTCTAGGTCATCAAATGTGCATGCATATTGTTGTTGATACATGATCCTATCATCCTTTTAATTTGAATAAGTATTTTCTGGAAAAACTGAACTACTCAAGATTAAAGTCTTATAGCCTTTGATCTCCTTAAATATTCACTGAGATCCAGATTGTCAGAAAGTGATATAATTGTTGGTAATGAAGCCAGCATTGTGGGACGCACTAATAATCATGAGAGAATAGGCAAAAATCAACAGACATTTAAGGAACTCCGCAACATGAAGGAGAAATAACTTAGCAAAAATTGAGACAATGTAGTCAACAGCAGAAAATTTCAAAGAAATCATCATAATAAAAGTAGAGATAAAGAATGTTGTTTTTATTTTTCAGAATTCTGTAAGTAAAGAAATTATCAGTAAAAAGTTAACTCCCATTAGTTTAAAATTGCCAAAATAATTTCTTAAGACATAATGAAGTCAGAAAAATATCCCAAGTACAACAAAAAATATAAGAAAAAGGACAATAAGAGAGAAGATATAAGATAATTAAAATATATAACATAATCTAAGAAGTACAAAATATAGCCAATAAAGTCTTAAAGAAAGAAATATAGAAAATGGTGGGAACTTTTCAATGAAATAATCTATGAAACCTTTATAGAACTGGAGGACATCAATATCCAGATTGCAAAAGGTCCACAAGAACATAAGACCAAAGATTCACACTAAGGTTATCAGTGTGAAATAATGGAATACCAGGGATAAAAAGTAGCTTCTAAAAGCTTCTCAAGGGGAAACACTAGGTCATATAATGGGTAGAGAAGAAAAAGAATGGCATCAGACTTTAAATGCCATAGTGGAAATTAGAAGATAATGATAATTTTGAGGAAAAATTATTTTCAAACTAGTATTTTATACAAAATCAAATTATCATTTAAATGTAGAAGGAGGGACCCCTGGGTGGCCCAGCGGTTTGGCGCCTGCCTTTGGCCCAGGGCGCAATCCTGGAGACCCGGGATCGAACCCACATCGGGCTCCTGGTGCATGGAGCCTGCTTCTCCCTCTGCCTGTGTCTCTGCCTCTCTCTCTCTCTCTGTGACTATCATAAATAAATAAAAAAAATTAAAAAAAAAAATAAAAATAAATGTAGAAGGAAAAGCAAAGATATTTTCAGACATGGAAATTCTCAAAAATTAGCTCCCTTACACTCTTTCATTATAAGCTCCTGGAAGATGTAATCTACCTAAACAGTGAAGTAAACCAAGAAATAGGAAGGCAAGGGATTGAAAAAACAGGAGATTCAAGACAGATAAGGGTTTTTCTTTAATTTTTTTAATTTTTAAAAAAGATTTTATTTTATTTATTTATTTTTTTAAAGATTTTATTTCAAAAAAAATAAAAATAAAAATAAAAAAAATAAATAAAGATTTTATTTCTTTATTCATTAGAGAGAGAGAGAGAGAGAGAGAGAGAGAGAGAGGGCAGAGACACAAGCAGAGGGAGAAGCAGGCCCCATGCAGGGAGCTTGATGTGGAGCTTGATCTCTGGTCTCCAGGATCAGGCCCTGGGCAGAAGGCGGCACTAAACCGCTGAGCCACCCGGGCTGCCCCCCCCTTTTTTAAATTTTAAATCCCCACAATTATAGTGAAAGGAAATCTTAGACAAAAGTTCTGCCACAGGGAAAGTATCTAGTCCATGTTGAAGCAGGAGGTTGTTGTGTTCTAGGAAGGTTGCTTTAAGAGAATAAAGAGACATGACATATTATGTGACAGACTAGACTATATGGAACATTGTCCAGACAAACATAATATAGAGCTCTTGGCATGAGAGGATTTAGTCAAATATCTAAGGACAATTGAGCAATTAGTAACTGTAGGGATAAACAAAAAGTTGAAAGAAAGTAAATAAAATAATTATGCAGTTACACTACTTAGCTTAACAACAACATATCATCATAACAATTAAATTTCTGATAAAAATTTTAATTGAAATTTAAACTATAATTACATTACAAAATGGTAACAGGAGTTAGTGTTTCAAGTGAGTGAAGATGCTTGTCATTAAATAAGTGTTTTCATTAGATAATTAATGAAAAAAAAGTTACTGTCTCTGGGGTGCAGGATAAGCCTTGAGAAGAAGATAATGGATTGCAATTCTGGCTTAGCACTATTTTGATTTTAAAATGAATACATGTAATTTGAGAGTAAAGAGATAACAGCAAGCTTGTGACCCTCCTATAATAATCATCCTTCTATTGAGGGGGTAGCTCAGGGGATAATAGACTTTTGACCAAGCTTCCTTGCAGACATGAAAATGGAATTGACTAGTGGACTATTCAAAAAAAAAATAATAAAATGAATAAAAACCACCTCGACATATATTACCTGTCCAATGGCCAATCAAAAATATCTGGAATTTATGGATTTATGAGACATTGAGGGTAGGAGAATGAGAATTGCTCATGTAGACATTTCCTCTATCAAGAGTACAAAAACAGGAAGCTCCAAAAAAAAAAAAAAAAAAAAAAACCCAACCCAGCTTCCTTTGGGAACAAGGTTTCTACAAATGACATTCAAAAGTCATATGTTAATTCAAAAGTAAAAAGCATCTTAAAGGAGGGAGAAAAGGACAATCTGGAAGCTGCATCTGATAGATACCAACTTCTATAGGAAGAAATGTTACATCTCTGCCTGATTATATTTGCATTATATCATTTGAATCAGTAGTAACCTTTGGGGTTCACAAGTTATATAATATAACCAATTTGCTTTGACATTCCAATCCTTTTTGGAAATACAGCAATATATATATATATATATGTGTTTTACAAATTAAGTATAGAAATTGTTAAATGAATTTTAAAACATTAAAAATAGAAAAAAAAACAGAATTACATATATACCAAATCTGAAGATGGGTAGATGTTCTAATCTTTAAACAATGTTAGAAATCACAGAGGAAATGATAGCTAAATTTCACTATAAAATTGCTAAAAGAATCTATTGAAAAACACAACAAAAGGCAATGAATCTTAGAAAAAATTCACAGTAAAAATGAAAAAAATTAATATAGATAGATGAGGAAATCACTGACATCTATCACACAAATACATCACCACAATGATAAAGGTAAAGTTCATGAATAATTTACATATGAAATATATTATTAATAACAAAGATAGACAATTTTAATCCTCATAAGTAATTAAAGAAATTTAAATGAAAATTGAAATGATGTACTTTTAATCACATAGAAAAAGATCCAATTTCTTTAATTCAATGCTGGTTAGAGTTTATATTGAAGGAGAGGTAAAACAGCATAAATCTTTACAAAAGCCATTTTGCAAAACATATCTAGAGCTTTAACATGTATCTACTTTTTCTTTTTTGAGAGAGAGAAAGCCTGAGTGTGTGCTCACTGGAGGAAGGGCAGAGAGGCAGAGGGAAAGAAAGAGAACCTTAAGCAGGCTCCATGCCCATCCTGAGATCATAACCTGAGCAGTAATCAAGAGTTGGATGCGTAATGGCTGAGCCACCTAAGTGTTGCTGACATATATATGCTTCAGAAGGAAAGCAGCCAATTCAGAGAATCTCACTTTGAAAAGAAATCTAAACAGGTAAAAAGTATTATACACAAAAATGTTCACTAGCACAAGATTTATATGAATAAGAAAATAAAAGAAACAACCTAAATGCGTAAATAATATATAAGAGACACTGGATGAAATATTCTATAATAGTTATCAGTGTTAATTTATACAATTAAGAGTCTATAACATCCAAGTAAAAGTTTCTATAGAGTGAAGAGATTTCTTTTTTATTTTTTAGAGTGAAGAGATTTCAGCTGAACACAGGCAATAAGATCAGAACTATGCTAAAAATAAATAAAGGCATAGAACAAAAGAATACGGTACCAAGATATTAATAGTATGCTCTACATATTTACATTCCAGATGTCATATCTGTGTTTCTAACATTTTCCAATTTTTCATAATGACAATACATTAATTTTTATTTGTCAAGTAGGTAAATTTTATTTTTCATGTAAGTAATTTACCTCATTCAGAAAACAAAATTAGACAATGATTTTTTTCCCTAAACAGGTATCTTAAAACAAGGGAGAAAACTCCATGGAGCTTCCCTATCAGCTTCAGAATTCTTAATTCTATATTTTAAACAGGAGGGAAATAAGTCTCTATATTGTATATGCTATATTAATGAAGCCTTTCTTACTAGGTGCCAAGTGCAGTTATCAACTGAGCACTCTTTTATTACTAAGAACAACTTAATGTCAGAATTATAAAAACAAAATACCGCATAATATAGCATAGACTAAACTTTTCATGAAAAATACTTAAACACACATAATAAAACACAAAACCAAAGATTATCAAAAGTAGGGTTCACAGAGTGCATTGGTTTTAGATTTGAATATCTGGAGAAAATGAGTAAAAAACACTCAAAAATTTAATATATTTACCCTTCTTTTGTCTGTTTTTACTTACCCTTCTTTACGTGTACTTAGTCCTTTAGTAACCCATTCCTTTGGGGAGAAATTTTTTTAAACAAAATTTTCATCATTTCATTATATATCTAATGTACTTTATTTTAATAATTTATATTTTGATTTAATCATTTAAAGCTACCCACACAATAAATAACTAAACTGACCTTTGTTTTTAATTATAATCTATGTTTTTAAGCAAGAGTCATTGATCTGAGATTATAGACAGGGTACTGTCACCAGTTAGATTAGACTCCAAGACCTGACCTTTACTGCCCACCTGCTTGAACTCATTAAACTTTGTCTTAACATTCTTCCTTAAGCTCTTCTTTACAGCTTACCTCTTAACTCAGGCAAATGAAACTGGAAAGCACCCTTCAGGTGATGGTGACCACCTGACAAGACCTCCCACCCATCCCAGGCTACCCCGACATTTTGAGCTAAACCCCCAACTCACACCTGTGCAGAGAGACCATGGAGTAACCTCTGGAATGATCTACCATTACCTTTGCCTCATTATAATACTAAAATCTCCACCTAAGGAGGAGCTTCAGCCTCATTTATATAACATACAGTTCATTTATAGATATGTTTCCTTAAGGCTCATCTGTGACTTTATGGCCACCTCTACATACTATGAGAATGTTTCCCTATATAAATATTCATCCTAGGGGCACCTGGATGTCAGTTAAGTGACTAACTCTTAACCCTGGCTCAGATCATGAACTCAAGGTCATGATACCAAGCCCTGCATTGGGCTCCCTGCTGAGCAAGGAACCTGTTTAAGATTCTCCCTCTGGCCCTCCCCCACTATTCACACTCTCTCAAAAAAATGCACATAAATAAATACATACATACATACATACATAAATAAATATTCATCTAACTCTAAGCAAAAGGTATCCCTTTATCTGATGTTAGGGAGTCACAGCTTTGGAAGTCTTTGCCCATGATCTCCTTAATAAAGTTTTCTTGTGCAACAACTTCACCTGGTACAGTTTCTGTAACTCAATAAGGAGTGAACTTCACATGGATTTGGTTACACTATTTCTCAAAATTCATTCTCACAGGTACTATTTAAGTCACACACACAGGAATCATATCAGAGTTTTACTTTCTAATACTTCTATTTTTTAAAAATAAATAATCATATTCTGAATTTTTAAACTTTTAGCTGCTTAAGGATAAATATTTGGCATATGCACACCAAGTGAATGCTTCACATTACATACCAGTAGCTTGAACATAACACGGTCGAATAAGTGGTGTTTTCTTTGGAATCATAGGAGAATTTGACGAACAATACTGAGTGTAAAGTTCTGAAGCCTTGAAGAAATTAATTTGAACTTGAATGCTAAAGTCATATGTTGTCACCTGACAGACAAAAAAGAAATACATTACACCTGTGATTGTTTTTGCTATAAGAAATTTGTGATACTATTTTTATTGAATATAAAATGTACAACATGAAGATTCGGTACACGTATCAAATGAAGTAACACCATAATCAAGTTAATTAACATATCCATCATCTCGCATAGCTACCCCTCACCTCATTGTGAGAACACATAGAATCTACCCTCTTAATAAATTTCAAGCGTAAAATGTAGTATTGTTACCAGAATTACTATATGACCCAGCAATCTCACCCCTGGGTATTTACCCAAAGGAACTGAAATCAGGATTTTGAAGATATTCCTTCACTCCTATGTTCACTGCAGCATTATTTACAATAGTCAAGACATGGAAATAACCTAAAAGTCCATCAAAGGATAAATGGTTAAAGAAAATGTGGTATATGCATACAATGGAGTATCTTTCAGCTTTACAAATAGAAGGAAATTTTGCCATTTCCAACAATATGGATGAGCCTGCAGAACATTATGCTAAGTGAATTAAATCTGACACAGAAAGTCAAATAATATATGATCTCATATGTAGAATCTAAAATTGTCAACTCATAGAAGCAGAAAACAGAATGGTGGTTACTAGGGACTAGAGAGGGAGATTGGGGAGATGTTGGTCAAGAGGTACAAAGTTTCAATTATACAAGATGAATAAGTTCTGGAGATCTAATGAAATACTATGGATGTAGCAAAACAGCAGTTTAAAAAAAGACATTTTCAAAAATAAAATTATCTTGTGATGGTTAAAGTACTTTTTTTTTTTTTCAAAAAAACCAAGACCTGGTTTATTTTTCATGAGCTTAAAAATAATTCTTAAAAATAAAAACAAATTTTAAAATAGGGGGAGGGGCAAGATGGCGGAAGAGCAGGGTCCCCGAGTCACCTGTCCCCACCAAATTACCTAGATGACCTTCAAACCATCCTGAAAATTTACGAATTCGGCCTGAGATGTAAAGAGAGACCAGCTGGAATGCTACAGTGAGAAGAGTCCGCGCTTCTATCAAGGTAGGAAGACGGGGAAAAAGAAATAAAGGAACAAAAGGCCTCCGAGGGGGAGGGGCCCCGCGAGGAGCCGGGCTAGGGCCGGGGCGAGTGTCCCCAGGACAGGAGAGCCCCGTCCCGGAGGAGCAGGAGCTGCACCAACCTTCCCGGGCGGAAAGGGGCTCGCAGGGAGTTGGAGCAGGACCCAGGAGGGCGGGGATGCCCTCGGGCTCCCGGGGACACTAACAGACACCTGCGAGCGCAGGAGAGTGCTCCGAGCTCCCTAAGGGCTGCAGCGCGCACGGCGGGACCGACCGGAGCAGCTCGGAGGGGCTCGGGCAGCGGCTCCGCGGAGGGGGCTGCGGGGCGGGAGCGCGAATCCAACAGCGCAGGCCCCGGAGCACAGGGCACCGGGACACAGCCCAGGATCCGGCCTCCCCCGGGACAGGCAGAGGCCGGGAGGGCCCAGGACAGCGAGGACGCTCCTGCCCCGAGCTGAGCAGATCAGCGGCCCCGCCCCGGAGCCTCCAGGCCCTGCAGACGGAGAACCGAGAGCCCCGAGCCCCGTAGTTCCTGCGGAGGCTGAATCCAGGCTTCCAGAGTTGCCATAGCAACTGCGGCTGATCCTCCTGGGGCCCCACGGGGTAAACAACCCCGCTGAGCCCTGCAGCAGGCAGGGGCAGAGCAGCTCCCCCAAGGGCTAACACCTGAAAATCAGCACAGCAGGCCCCTCCCCCAGAAGACCAGCTGGACGGACCAGTGATACTCCCCCGTGTTCCAATACAACTTGTTTTTGGCCACTCTGCACTGAGCAAAATGACTAGAAGGAAAACCTCACCTCAAAAGAAAGAATCAGAAACAGCCCTCTCTCCCACAGAGTTACAAAATCTGGATTACACTTCAATGTCAGAAAGCCAATTCAGAAGCACCATTATACAGCTACTGGTGGCTCTAGAAAAAAGCATTAAGGACTCACGAGACTTCATGACTGCAGAATTTAGATCCAATCAGGCAGAAATTAAAAATCAATTGAATGAGATGCAATCCAAACTAGAAGTCCTAACGACGAGGGTTAACGAGGTGGAAGAACGAGTGAGTGACATAGAAGACAAGTTGATGGCAAAGAGGGAAACTGAGGAAAAAAGAGACAATCAATTAAGGGACCATGAAGACAGACTAAGGCAAATAAATGACAGTCTAAGGAAGAAAAACCTACGTTTAATTGGGGTTCCCGAGGGCGCCGAAAGGGACAGAGGGCCAGAATATGTATTTGAACAAATCCTAGCTGAAAACTTTCCCAATCTGGGAAGGGAAACAGGCATTCAGATCCAGGAAATAGAGAGATCCCCCCCTAAAATCAATAAAAACCGTTCAACACCTCGACATTTAATAGTGAAGCTTGCAAATTCCAAAGATAAAGAGAAGATCCTTAAAGCAGCAAGAGACAAGAAGTCCCTGACTTTCATGGGGAGGAATATTAGGGTAACAGCAGACCTCTCCACAGAGACGTGGCAGGCCAGAAAGGGCTGGCAGGATATATTCAGGGTCCTAAATGAGAAGAACATGCAACCAAGAATACTTTATCCAGCAAGGCTCTCATTCAGAATGGAAGGAGAGATAAAGAGCTTCCAAGATAGGCAGGAACTGAAAGAATATGTGACCTCCAAACCAGCTCTGCAAGAAATTTTAAGGGGGACTCTTAATACTCCCCTTTAAGAAGAAGTTCAGTGGAACAATCCACAAAAACAAGGACTAAATAGATATCATGATGACACTAAACTCATATCTGTCAATAGTAACTCTGAACGTGAATGGGCTTAATGACCCCATCAAAAGGCGCAGGGTTTCAGACTGGATAAAAAAGCAGGACCCATCTATTTGCTGTCTACAAGAGGCTCATTTTAGACAGAAGGACACCTACAACCTGAAAATAAAAGGTTGGAGAACCATTTACCATTCAAATGGTTCTCAAAATATACCCTAAAAACTATAGAACACTTCTGAAAGAAATTGAGGAAGACACAAAGAGATGGAAAAATATTCCATGCTCATGGATTGGCAGAATTAATATTGTGAAAATGTCAATGTTACCCAGGGCAATTTACACGTATAATGCAATCCCTATCAAAATACCATGGACTTTCTTCAGAGACTTAGAACAAATTATTTTAAGATTTGTGTGGAATCAGAAAAGACCCCAAACAGCCAGGGGAATTTTAAAAAAGAAAACCATAGCTGGGGGCATCACAATGCCAGATTTCAGGTTGTACTACAAAGCTGTGTCCATCAAGACAGTGTGGTACTGGCACAAAAACAGACATATAGATCAATGGAACAGAACAGAGAACCCAGAAGTGGACCCTGAACTTTATGGTCAACTAATATACGATAAAGGAGGAAAGACCATCCACTGGAAGAAAGACACTCTCTTCAATAAATGGTGCTGGGAAAATTGGACATCCACATGCAGAAGAATGAAACTGGACCACTCTCTTGCACCATACACAAAGATAAACTCAAAATAGATGAAAGATCTAAATGTGAGACAAGATTCCATCAAAATCCCAGAGGAGAACTCAGGCAACACCCTTTTTGAACTTGGCCACAGCAACCGGAGAAGGACAAACAGTGTATGTTCTCATTCATTTGGGGAATATGAATAATAGTGAAAGGGAATATAAGGGAAGGGAGAAGAAATGTGTGAGAAATATCAGAAAGGGAGACAGAACATAAAGACTTCTAACTCTGGGAAATGAACTAGGGGTGGTGGAGGGGGAGGAGGGCGGGGGGTGGGGGTGAATGGGTGACGGGCATTGAGGTGTACACTTGACGGGATGAGCACTGGGTGTTATTCTGTATGTTGGTAAATTGAACACCAATAAAAATTAATTTATAAAAAAAAAATTTTAAAATAGTTCCTATTAATTCAAAATGGGCCAAAGACCTAAAACTATAAACCATTTAGGTGAAAAATCTTTGTAATCATTGGTTAGGCAAAGATTTCTTAAATACACTACTAAATAAATTATCCACAAAAGAAAAAATGATTAAATTATATTTTGTCAAAGTTAAAAACATCTTTTCTGTTAAATATAATGCTTAATAAATAGAAGCCAAAAACACATTTTTGATAAAAAATCCAACTTTTATCCAAAATATTTAAAAGAACACACAGAGATCAGTAAAAAGCAAAGTTTCTAATGAAAAACTAAGTAAAAGATATGAAAAAACAACTGAGAAAATATACATATGACATATTACCACAAGAAAAAAATGTTTAATATCATCACACATTAGGGATATGTAAATTGATTCACAGGAGATAATACTTTATACCTATCACAATGGCTTAAACGAAAATGGCATTACCAAGATGTGATAAAGATGTGAGCACCTCAACCATTTATACATTGTTGATAGGAATGCACAATTTCATAGTAATTATGGAAAATAGTTTTCCACTTTCTTAGAAAATTAGAAATGTACTGAACATAAGGCCCACAATTCCTAATTCTAGGTTACCAAAGAGAAATAAACACTTGCATGTAAATATTTATAGTGGTCTTATGCATAATTACAAAAACCTGAAAACAACTCAAATTCCCTTCAAACAGTGAATGGACAACAGACTTTGGTAAATCCACACAAAAGAATACTTTTCAACAATGAAATGTAATGTACCAGTGTTCCACATAATAATATGGATGAATATCAAATGCATTATTCTAAGTAAGAGAAGCCAGGCTGAAAAAGCAACCTATCTTAATACTTCATTTAATATGATGTATAAGTGAAAAGGCAAAGTTATACAAACAAAATGAGATCAGTGTTTGTCATGAACTGGAACTGGGGTAAAGGTTGACTGCAAACTGGTAAAATAAAAATTTAGAGAAGGTGATATGTGTTCTCTATAATTTTTAAAACAAATGAAATGAAAAGAAGTTAATGCTAATTCCTTACCTTTGGGTAGGATACAAGGCATTTGGATTGGAAAGGAAAGATTAAGACTATATGTATTTATAAATGAAATGATCCTGCATAGAGAAATTCACAAAGAATCCACAAAGAAAGTGCTAGAGCTAATAAATGAATTCAGGAAAATTGCAACATACAAGGTCAACAAACAAAAATCAAATGTTCCTACACACCAGCAATGGATTCTGAAAAATAAAATAAGTAGACAGTTTCATTTAAAGTAAGATGCAACAGACTCTTGGGCCTCGGGGATTGGTGGGGTGCGCCTGCACAGTTGTGGACGCCGCAGGTTTTTGAAACATAAATCCTTCACTCTTCTTGACTGCCCTTTGCAGGGAATAGTCTCTGCAACTCCAAAACTTGATCAAAGCTTAAATGCACAATGGTACCAGTGGAAGGCAATGCACAGATTATATGCCATGAATGAAGAAGGATGGAGGAGAGCAGTGTGGGAGAAGAATATGAAAATGACTGAACTGCATAATCGGGAATATAGCCAAGGGAAACATGGCTTCACAATGGCAATGAATGCCTTTGGTTACATGACCAATGAAGAATTCAGGCAGGTGATGAATGGCTTTCAAAACCAGAAGCACAAGAAAGGGAAAGTGTTCCAAGAACCTCTCTTTGCTGAGATCCTCAAATCTGTGGACTGGAGAGAGAAAGGCTACGTAACTCCTGTGAAGAATCAAGGTCAATGTGGTTCTTGTTGGGCTTTTAGTGCAACTGGTGCCCTCAAAGGACAGATGTTCCAGAAAACAGGCAAATTTGTGCCATTGAGAAGGAGCCTCAGTGTCCATTGAAAGATGAATGGATAACGAAGATGTGGTCTATGTATACAATGGAATATTACTCAGCCATTAGAAACGACAAATACCCACCATTTGCTTCGACTTGGATGGAACTGGAGGGTATTATGCTGAGTGAAGTAAGTCAATCGGAGAAGGACAATCATTATATGGTCTCATTCACTTGGGGAATATAAAAAATAGTGAAAGGGAATAAAGGGGCAAGGAGAAAAAATGAGTGGGAAATATCAGAAAGGGAGACAGAACATGAGAGACTCCTAACTCTGGGAAACGAACAAGGGGTGGTAGAAAGGGAGGTGGGCGGGGGTGGGGGTGACTGGGTGATGGGCACTGAGGGGGGCACTTGATGGGATGAGCACTGGGTGTTATTCTATATGTTGGCAAATTGAACACCAATAAAAAATAAATTAAAAAAAAAGAATAATAATAAAAAAAAAAAACTTGTGCCACTGAGTGAGCAGAACCTGGTGGACTGCTCTCAGGCTCAAGGCAACAAGGGCTGCAATGGTGGCCTCATGGATAACGCCTTCCAGTATGTTAAGGACAACGGAGGCCTGGACTCAGAGGAATGTTATCCGTATCTTGGAAGGGACACAGATACCTGTAACTACAAGCCTGAGTGTTCTGCTGCCAATGACACTGGCTTCATGGACATCCCTCAACGGGAGAAGGCCCTAATGAAGGCAGTGGCAACTCTAGGGCCCATCTCCGTTGTTATTGATGCACGCCATCAGTCTTTCCAGTTCTATAAATCAGGCATTTATTTTGATTCAGACTGCAGCAGCAAATATCTAGATCATGGTGTTATGGTGGTTGGCTATGGCTTTGAAGGAACAGATTCAAATAATAAATTTTGGATTGTCAAGAACAGTTGGGGTCCAGAATGGGGCTGGAATGGCTACATAAAAATGGCCAAAGGCCAGAACAACCACTGTGGAATTGCCACAGCAGCCAGCTATCCCACTGCGTGAGCTGATGGCCCACAAGATTAGAGGACTTGAGGACAGCATATCTGGAGGAATTTTATCTTAAAACTGACCAAACCCTTATTGTGTAGGATAAGACACTTGAATCATTGAGGATCCAAGTTGTGATTCGAATTCTGTGACATTTTTATCAGGGTAAAACATTACCACTACTTTAGTTACTGTTATATATGGCTTTATAATGTTGAAGGCTCATTACTTAATTCTAAGACTTTTGGCTTTTCATTTTTTCAAAGGATATATAAAACTTTACCTTTTGAAATAAATTTTAATTCAATATGTAAAGAAATAAAATAAAATAAAAATTAAATAAAATGAGATGCAAGAGGTGCCTAGGTGGCTCAGTCAGTTAGGCATCTGATTTTGGATTTTGGCTTAGGTCATGATCTCAGAGTCATGAGATCAAGTCCCATCTGGGGCTCCACACTCAACACATAAGTCTACTTCTCCCCTTTTCCCTCTGCCCCTCCCCCTGTTCACACATGTTTGCTCACTCTCTCTCTCATTTTCTCTCAAATAAATTAATTTTAAAAATAAAATCCAAAAGAAGAAAATTTCTAGAAATGTGTCCAAGTTCTGACAAACTTGTACAATGAAAACTGCAAAATATTGTTGAAAGAAATAAAAGAAGTTCTACAAAAATGGAAAGACATCCAATGTTCATTGATTGAAAAATTTAGTATTGTTCAGATGTCAGTACTACACTAAACAATCTACAATTCATAGCCATCCCTATCAGAATTCCGATGGCCATTTTTGCAAAACTGGATAGGCTAACCATTTAATTCATAATAGTAAGGCTCCAAATAGCCAAAACAACCTGGAAAAGGGATGAAGGTGGAAAACTCATACTTCTCAATTTCAAAACTTATTATAAAGCTACAGTAATCAAAACAGTATGATACTGGCATAAGAGTAAACATGTAGACAACTGGAATAGAGTGTCCAGAAACAAAACATACATCTACAGGCAATTAATTTTTTATAAGGGCACCAGGCCCTTATCTCATTCCACACACCAAATTGACTCAAAATGGATTAAAAACCTAAACATAGACCTAAAACTATAAAACTTGAAGAAGAAAACCTAGGGGAAAACTTTATAACATTAGAATTGGCAATGATTTCTTATATATGACATGAAAGTACAGGTAACAAAAGAAAAATAGACGAAAGAGACTATATCCAACACAAAATATCTGTTCATCAAAGTAAACAATCAACAGAGTGAAAAGGCAACCTGTGAAATGAAAGTATTTGCGAACCATACATTTGATAAAGGGTTGATGACCAGAATATATAAAGAACTATAGCTTGACAACAAGAAAATAATCATTCGATTTTAAAAAGGGCAAAGGACTTGAGTGGGTATTTCCCCAAAGATGATATACAGATGGCCAACAAGTATATGAAAAGATACTTGATAACACTAATTATCAGAGGAATGCAAATCAAAACCACAATAAGATATCACCTCACACCCATTATCATGGCTGTGATCAAAAATCCAGAAAATAGTAAGTGTTGGTGTAAATGTGGAGAAACTGGAACAACTATACAGTATTAGTGGGAGAGTAAAACAGTGCTAGCCATATGGAAAACAGTATGGAGGTTCTTTAGGAAATTAAAAATAGAGTTACCATTTAATCTATCAATCTCACTTCTAGGTATATATTTAAAAGATCTGAAAGCAGGGTCTTGAAGAGATATTTGTAGATCCATTTCCATAATAGCACTATTTAAAATAGCTGAGAGGTGGATGCGAAACAAATGTCCATAGACAGATGAATGGATAAACAAAATCTAGTATAAATATTGCTTTGGCTTAAGAATAAACGAAATCCTGTCATATGCTATATGAATGATCTTTTTTTTTAAGATCTTATTTATTTATTCATGAGAGACACAGAGAGGGAGAGAGAGAGAGAGGCAGAGGCACAGGCAGAGGGAGAAGCAGGCTCCATGCAGGGAGCCTGACACGGGACTCGATCCCTGGTCTCCAGGATCAGGCCCTGGGTTGAAGGTGGCGCTAAACTGCTGAGCCACCCGGGCTGCCCCTGATCTTTTGAGGATATTATGCTAAGTGAAATAATTCAGTCACCAAAAGACGAATACTACTCTCCCACTTATATGAGGCATCTAAAGTAGTCAATTTTATAGAAACATAAAGTAGAATGGCGGTTGCCCAGGTTTGGAGGAAAACGGCAAAAGGGAGTTATTTTTAAATGGGTATAGAGTTTCAGATCTGCAAGATGAAAAAGTTCTAGAGATCTTTCAAAACATGGATATAATTTAGCACTTAAGATAGTCGTCAAATTTTATGTTACATGTTTTTTCTACCACAATAAAAATGAAAACCCAAAACATTGTGCTAAGTGAAAAAACCCACATGCAAATGGCCACATATTGTATAATTCCTTTTATATGAAATAATCCAGAAGAGATAGATCCAGAGAGATTGAATACAGATTGGTGGCTGTCAGTGGCTAGTGGAAAGAGGTGAGGAGAAACTGCTTTAATAAGTTAAGGGTTGTGCTTTGTAGTGTTTGAAATGTTTTGAAATGGGACAGAAGGAATGGTTATACCATACTGTAAAGGCACTAAATGCCACTGAATTGTTTACTTTAAAAATGGTTAATTTTGTTATATAAATTTCCTCTCAATAAAGTATTTCTTAAAAATAAAGGAGGGAGAAGTCAATCAAAGGTAAAAATCCTAACCCCCAAAGATAATAGTATTGGGAGGTACGGCCTTCGTGAGGTCCTTAGCCATGAGTGTGGAGCCCGCATGATTGGGATTAGTGCCTTATAAAAGAGACCGCTGGAAATCCCTAACTCCTTCCACCATGTGAGCACATGTCAAAGATTCTATAATCCAGAAGAGGACCTTCCTCTACCATGCTGGTGCCATGATTCTGGACTTCCAGACTCCAAAACTGTGATAAATAAATTTTTGTTGTTTACAAACTACTCAGTCTGTGGTACTTTGTTATAGCACCTGAATAGACTGAGACACTGGCCATACCACTGAGAATTCCATCTCTTGTCACAGAATCTTTTTAAAATAGACTGTTCTCCTAACAGAATTATAGAAGCAAGAAAATACTATAGCCTGTCTTATTTTCATGAATGTTTCATTTATTTTGACAAATCAGAGCAAGCAACTCATTCCCATGATATTCTATTTTTGCAGTGACACCAATACACAGATGTCAAGGAGTAAATTGAATAAAGATATATTTCGTGTATAGATACTACCTGGTTTCATATATCAGTCCTTAAAATAATTTTGCTTGACTTTATTTCCCCTAGAATTTGTCATTATTAATCATCAGTAACTAGTTATATTTTTGTCCCATTTCTTTGTTTCCTCTTCTGGTTTATGTTTTTTTTTCTTTGAATATTAATATAAATCAATACTTACTATCATATGTATTTTAATGGTATTTATATTATCTTTAGGTTACTATCTTATGATTTAAGTTCTAGGTTTTTTTCATATAATATAAATATATATTTTAAAGTCAAATATATTTCCCAAACCATTATCCTCATCTGACTGGAATGGATGGAAGTGGATTCCCAATGGAAGAAGCTGAGGGGAATGGAAGAAGGGACCAATGGAAACCTGAAGACAAGGAAATGGGAGGCCAGGGTTCTGGATGGATCTCCATATGAATACTGAAATCACTCAGAAAATTAGAGGAGTAGAGTATAGACTATACAATGAGACTGGCTGGTAGCAATGTCCAGAGATTACTACTCTGAGTAAAGGAAAATGGTAAACTCATATAATATGAAGTTCAAAGAAGCAGCCATTTTTAACAGGTAAAGACCATCTAGAAAAATCCACCCAGGGAGCAAGACTTCCAGAAAGCATCACCTCTAGAGCCACACCCAGATCCAAAGGAAAGGCTACATAAGAAGCAGTGCCCTAAAGAGAGCCATGTTCATCATATGAAGAAACTATGAAGGGAAAGGAAGCTCAAAAAACCACTGAAGACATGTAAATATAGGGATCCTAGAGGGCAAATAGGAAGGGGGAAAAAGCCAAATGTGAGAGAGCTCAGAGCTAGTGGGGATGAGAATCTATTCACAGAGAGCTCCACTTGGAGGGATGATTGAGGTAAAGTGTCATCATGATGGGTTAAAATTCTGACAGTCACTGAGTACTGCATCTTGACTGCCACTGGAACTAGCACTTGGTCCCAAAGTCAGGGATGATAGGAGCAGAAGGTGGGAGTGGTGAGAGAGGCTTAACACAAAGCATGACTGTGGGCTTCATTTGAGAATGTCTGATGTTGTAGATGATAACGTTGGTAATTCTCAAGATAATTTGATATACTTATCTCAGCCCTTAACTATCTCTTTGATTTTAAGTGTGAGACCTTCTTTCCTCTCAGAACATATATATTTTCTAAAACTGTGTGCTGAATTCACATAGCAGAGATTCATTCTCTGCCTTCTCTAATTGCCAATTGCGTGTATGTGGGAAATTATACTAGACTTGCTTTCTCATGACTCACATCTTTGCAGACAATTTACATAAAATGAGTTTATACCTAAAGTAGCCCTGTAATTATTTAGAATGCAAAATTCAGAGGTTAATGATTTCTCCACCCACATCTTATCCTCTCAACAGAATTGAAAGAATATAAGATTTAACACTTATACAGAAACTCAGTGACACAGAGAAAAGGAAATTAGGGTTATCACTGTGAAACCACTGAGCTATCTAATGAAGAGGGAAATCTTGGAAAGTTTTGTGATATGTGCTACACTAATCACTTTCCTAGTTGGTGTCATTCAAACAGAGGAATACCTCAAATTGAAAAATTATATTCTGATGAAGATTTCAGTCCCCCAGCCAGTACTGATAGACAAAAATATTTATGGTGCAGGTGTCACTCAAATGTCCTCTCTTTTAGTCCTTCAAGGATCATACTAGCTTCCTGTAAGAATGATTATAAATCCAGAATAACCACA